GCAAAAGGACAAATGCTATGATTTCACTTATCTGAGGGACCTTAAGTAGTCAAAATTCATAGAGACAGAAAGAATGGTGGCTGCCACAGGCTGTGGGAGGAGGAATTGGGGATACAGAGTTGCAGTTCTGCAAGATGAAAACAGTTCTGGAGTTTGGCTGCACAACAATGTGAATGTACTCGATGAAATGCACAGGTAACAACTGTTGAGATGGTAACTTTTATAGTATCTACATTTTACCACCCTGGAAGCTCCCCATAAGCTTTGTCCCAGTCACAGGTTCCCTCCTCCCCACTCTCCTGACGCTCCTCAAGTCTCTTCATAATTTCATCCCCAAAGCTTGTATACCTAGTATCATAGTGCACTCTATTTCACTCTTTAAAAACTTTGGGGTGTGTGTTTTTACATCTCCTTTAATCTACTAGTACCTTCTCCATTCCTCTATATTCCTCCCCATACTCACAGGGCTGGTCGCCATGTTTTTCCATCCTTGGTATTTTCAATCAACAGCTGGACCCACAGGCTCCTTCAGACACAGATTCTGTCCCTCTGGTAAGACTAGAGGTGGGTGCTTTGCTTTTCAGCAGGCACATAACGTTGTGATGTATTGATGTTCACTGCTTGAATCTATTCATTCACTGGGTTTACAAAATGATGGCATTCCAATTCTATCACGTCTTTTCCATTCATTAACTGAACTAATCTAGTGAAGACACACTTTCCCTCATCTATTATTAGGTTATCCAGCATCGCTCAAAAGCAAAAGGAAACTCAAATGCTTGACTGTTTTCTCACGTGTATCAGGGTTTAAGGTAATAAATTGGTCTCCTATCATCACATAGTGGTGACCCATTGTTTGATGGATTTCAATCAATTGAGATTATTATTCTTTTGAAGGTCAAATTGTCCCCTCACTGGACAGTAGGAGCTTCTAGCTGGCTGTCCTTGACAGCTTCCTCTTTAGAACTGGAAGATGTACCCAGATCATCATCTCTTATCCCAGACTTGGAATTAGCTAGCCCTCCAGAAGTCCAGGGATCTTTTAGTGAAAAATGATATTTCAAGTCCACAGTCTGGAATTCATACCTAATATTTCCAATTCAGGTTCAAGATACCTTTTAAAAAAAAACTTACTTAGCCTATTGTGTATTGCATTCATATCTTCCTTCTTCTATACCAAAAACCCATGTCTCGAGTACCACAAGTAGACTAGGATCACAGTATCCCATAATTACTAATTTACTTTATCCTATGTTATATATACAGCAGTCTATTCTCAGAATAACAATACTAATGCTACCACCACCTACATACAAGCTGTGAATACTTATGAAATTTTTTGCATATGTTCTCTCCATTCTCTCCCCATATTTTAAAAGAGTTTAAACACTATAAGAACAGCAGTCTGTGTATTGTCAGGGCATAGCCACTGTAAGGTCCTCCTTCTGTGTTTGAATCCGCACTTAATCTCAGTTCTATGAGTAACAGGCATGCTCACTGTTCTCCGCCAGTCCCTCTCATGATGCTTCTAGTTGTTCTCATTCTCTGAGCTTGTCCAGCAGATTCCTCAGGAAGAGCCCGGGGGCAATATCCTCTGAGGACCTGCTGGTTCATAAGAGGGTATCTGTGTCCTTGACACTCTACAGTCAGTTTTGCTGGATATAAAATTTTTCAACTTACTTTTTCCTTCTTTCCTTGACTTACTCAATTATCCTATTCCATTGTTCTCTGGCATTAAAAAAAAAAAATGCTTCTTTCTAAAAGACTGGTGGTGATCTAATCTTTCCCTAATAAGTTATTTGTCATTTTTTCCAAGATGTGCAAAGGATTTTTCCTTTCCCTTTAAAAATCCAGTAGTTTGGGCTGGGGCTGTAGCTCAGTGGCTGAGTGCTTGTCTGGCATGTATGAGGCACTAGGTTTGATCCTTAGCACCACATAAAAAGAAATAAATAAAATAAAGACATGCTATCCATGTACAACTACAGAAAAAAGTTGTGTTTTTTTTTTTTTTAATCCAGTAGTTTATCAAGAACGTCTGTAGTCATGGTCATTCAGGGTTCATGGTTTCACACTGAGTTCTTTCAATATGTAGCCCTGAATTTTATTTTTCATAAACTTTTCATAAATATAAGTATTGTTCAGTTCCCTTGCCTTTTTATTCCCTTTCGAGGATTCCACTATCTATATGTTGGAGATTTTTGACTAACACACTGTCACTTTGCGTCCAAGTCTTAAGATCTCTTTCATTTATTTTTATATGAAAGTTCTCTCTCTTACAACATCTTCTGCTATGTTTATCTATTCCTGTGTTCCTTCCAGCTCAATTTTTTGTTTCCAAATGAATTTTTCTTTTATTTTCTCTTTTTTTCCCTAAGTTCCATTACTTCATTTCTAAGATTCTTCTATTTTCAAAGTATGTTGATCACTTTTTTTTTTCTTTTTTTTTTGGTACTGGGGATAGAACTCAGGGACACTGGAGCACTGAGCCGCATCCCCAGCCCTATTTTATGTTTTACTTAGAGACAGGGTCTCATGAGTTGCTTAGCACCTTGCTTTTGCTGAGGCTAGCTTTGAACTCAAGATCCTCCTGCCTTAGCCTACTGAGCTGCTGGCATTATAAGCCTTCGCCACCATGCCCAGCTCTTAGGTCATTTTGAAATAGTCAGCTTTAGGTTTTATTTGTTTTATGGTGCACATCTCCGCCAAACTTTCATTGCCTGCAGGTATTCTCTTTCTTTCTCATGATAATTTTTAGTGAGATTTGACAACAATAAATTTCTTTTGAATATTTTTATGTAAAATAAGTTTTTTGAACCTTTGGAGAGAAACATGTTCAGGGTACCTTTTCTAACTTCTCATAGTTCTTCTAGGTTAGTGTCATGTGGTATTCAAAAATGTGGCAGTTACTTTTTGAGGTTTCTTAGACACAAATGCACTTTTATTTTTGTAACTTCAACTCTTTTTTTAAAGAGTCTACTAGAAAATATAAACTTGCATCTGAGACATGGACTACATGTCTCTTGAGCAGTGTGTCAGCTCCAGTTTCAAATCCCAGCCATGCCACTTTCTGTCTGTGTGAGGTGACGCTCTTTTCTAAGCACTGATTTGCTTATCTGTTATCTAAGAATAATAATTATGCCTAATTCATAAGGAGAAGGGAATTAAATAAGACATGTAAAACATTAAGCATAAGATCTAGACATAGGACGTATCTAAAAATGGAAGTTGTTCTTATTACCTCCTAGTATTGGGTGTATACGAGTTTCAGAGCTGGATCTGTTGGCACCTGGCTATATGATCCATGTAAGAAAATCAACCATATGGTCCTCAGTTTCTCTTTCAGATAATCAGGAACTGAGGATATGCCCCAATAGGCTGTTGTGAGAATTAACACATACTGAGCACCTACTATGAGCTAAGTACATTTTGGGCACTGGGAAAAATCAATGAACAAGTCAGTTCTTGACCTTAGGGAGCTTATATTCCAGTGGAGAAGACATGCAATAAAAAAAAAATTAGTGTTCTATAATGTAATGTTAGGTTCCAACATTAATGTGTAATAGGAATGCTGAAGAAAAACAGAGCTGGCCGCACAGTGGAGAGTGGCGGAGGACACTGCCTACACCAGGGAAAGGGAGGACTGAGCATTTGAATGGAGACTGAGCAGGCTGCTGGACTGAAGGAAGAGCCAGGCAGAGGCTCTGGGGAGGCTAGAGAGAAGGCAGTCAGTATGCAGGAGGGGACCATGGCCAGACCCCCAGGCAGGGGCCTCAGGAGGCACCCTCACTGAAGTGGGAAGGAGGAGGCACTGTAGAAATCGAAGCAGGTTTTCAATGAATCCGTAGACACACCAGAGAGCATGTGTGCACAAGGCCCAGCACAGCCTTCCATGGATCTAAAGAGAAATACAGCCCTTGGAAAGAGCTCAGAATCAGGCTTGAGGCCATCCCAAAGCCAATATCCCCCCTCTATCCACAAAGTCAAAGGAGGAAACCAAGTCACAGCAAAACATGGAGCCACCTCTGCTGCACCCAAGGGGAAGTCTCTCTGTCAGATCAGCAGTAGCTGGAGAAAAAACAATTTTTTGAATTTATGATTTTTATTTTATTTTTAAATTTTATTGGTATATTATATTATTCATAATAGTGAATTCATTATGCCATATTTGCATATGCACACAGCTTAACCAATCTCATTGCCCAGCCCACCCCTTTCCCTCCACTCCTTCTTCCCTTTATCCACTTGCTCTAATCTACTGATCTTCCTCCTATTATTATTATTATTAATTAGCCCATTAGAATTACATATATGTGGGGGGTTATTTGTGGTATATCTGTACCTGGACACAGCATAATCTGGTACATTTCATTCCTGGTACTTTCTCATGGCCCCCTCCTCCTTTTCTCTTGATTTTCTTCCTCTACTCTATTGATCTTCCTTTTATTTTTGTGAAATCCCCCTTCCTAAATTTATAATTTTTAAAAATTACACAAATAATGTTGTCTATCATTGTAGAAAATGACTATTATAAAAATATAGCATGTGCAAATAGATAAAAAAAGAAAAATTAAATTCCAAATATTGGAATGTACAGCCAAATAGTATAGTAAATATGTTTGGCTCTGCAGACCTGATTATTTATGAGTATATATCAAATTTAGAACTTATCCCATTATGGGTGTGTGTACACACATACTACATGTGTATGCTTGTGTGTGCGTGTGCACGTGTGCTGAGAATGCTGTCTAGAAGCAGCCCATTCTCCAGGACTGTGCTGGACCTGCGTCCTTTGCCTCCTCGTTGTGTATACCGTGTGCGCCTTCCACGATGGTAACAGCCAGACCCACAGCCTCCTTTCCAACGGGTATTTCATAAAGGACATAGCGTCCTTTATCCAACACTCCCCTCCTGGTAGATGTATAGGGTGCCCCAACCTGGGAAGGAAGCCCAGAGCCATGATGCCCTCTAGCACCCTATCACTGTGTCACTGTGTCACTTACGGCAAACTCCTCAGGAGTCACTTTCAAGACATCGAAGACAACCGCGTCATAGCTCTTGCTGGCATAGTCGCAGCTCTGGCCCTCCAGAGAGTCTGAGCTGCTGCTGCCCTGTGAAGAAAGTGGAGAGCGCACAGGCTGAGGGTCTGCCCTGGAATCACTGCCCCAACTGCCTCACATGGAGGTCAGAGGAGGACAGATCACACAATGAAAAGGCTTCTGTGGCCAGCACGTCACTCTTGTCCAGGCACTGTGATAAGCACTTCACACACAGGATCTTATTTAATTCTCATGAGCCCCCATGCATACACACCATTATTACTCCCATTTTACAGATATGGAAGCAGAGGCAGAGTTACTTCTCCAGGGTACCTCAGCTGTGAAACTGGAAGTCAGAATGTGAACCTAGTTTTCCATGACACCAAAACACGTGCTTTCAATGGCCACCCTCAACTGCTCTGTCCAGTGTTAAAAAAAAAAGTAAATAAGTAAAAAGCTACGGCACAGGGCTTGGGGCGGGCTCAGAGACAGAGGGCTTGCCTAGCAGGTCAGATCCTGGGTTCCTGAGTGTAGAATGGCTAACAGAGCTTCATCTCTATCCCAGCCATCTCACTTTCTGTCTGTGTGAGATGACATTCTTCTCTAAGCACTGATTTGCTTATCTGTTATCTAAGAATAATAATTATGCCTAATTTGTAAGGAGAAGGGAATTAAATAAGACATGTAAAACATTTAGCAAAAGACCTAGACACAGGAGGTTTCCAAAAATGGAAGCTGTTCTTATTACTCCCAATATTGGGTGTATACGAGTTTCAGAGCTGGACCTGTCGGCACCTGGCTATATGATCCATGTAAGAAAATCAACCACATCAAAATCAACCTACAGAGCTTCATCTCTATGAGTCATTCTGCACTCAGTACCCACCTTCCAGGAAGGTACTGAGTACCCACCTCCATCAGGCTTGACAGGGCTGATTTCCTCTGGGACAGTACAGTGTCATGGTTAGGGGGACAAACTCAAGAGACACAATAGACTGGCTTAGACCCCACCCAGCTGGCCAGCTATGAGATCCAAAGCCAGCATGTTCACCTCTCTGTGCCTTTAGTTCCTCATCTATAAACTGGAATATCAATACATACCTGTGGGGGTCACTGTGAGGGTTAAGTGAGAGAAACCTTGTGTACCACATTTTAAAAACTGCCTGAAATAGAGTAAAAGCTAAATTATGGGTGTGTATGGGTATAACTGTGCCATCCCGTCACCAAGATTTATGGAGCACTTCAATTATACATGCTAATTCATTCATTCATTCATTCAAGGAACATTACCAAATACTTACCAAGTGCTGGTACACACCTACACACATGCAGCCTTCCCTCTGTATCCATGGGGGATTGGTTCAGGACCTCTCAAGGATGCCCAAATCTGCAGTTGCTCAAGTCCCTTATATAAATGGCTTAGTATTTGCCAATAACATATGTATATGCTCTTGTATACTCTGAATCATTTCTAGATACAATACCTAATACAATGTAAATAGTTGTTACACTGTATTGTTAGGGAATAATGACAAGAAAAAGTTATGTTCAGACTAATTTTTTTAGAACATTTTCAATCTATAGTTGGTGGATCTCATGGATATAGGGGGCCAACAAAATATAGTACATATACATATCATGTATATGCCCACAAGTATACACACAGATCAGAGAAGTTTTACTCTATTATTACAGTTGGAAACAGAAGTCTAATTCCTCCAGTTATCAGAGTCCTTTCCTGGGATTTCAGGTTTTATAACCTTCCTATAATAATACTCCACCGTACCTGCTCCAAACACACACACGCATTCACGGGGACTTGTTTAATCAAAAGTTGCCCAAACATTTTCCTTGGTGATGATGATGATGGTGAAGCTATAGCAACTTAATTTAAACTATACGGGCCCTTGTGAGGAATCTGAAGCTTGATTTCAAGATTAGAAATCAAAATAAGGAATTTTTTGAAAGATTTATAAGAAATGAACTGGTTCCCATGACTTTCTGGCTGGTCACCAGGATGACTTCAAAAGCCCCACTTGTGGTGAGCTCAGGACCCCAACACTGCCTTACCAGTGTATCAGAGGGGCCAGGCATTATGCAGTCAGCAAAGAAGGCCTCAGGTGACGCCCACTTCTCCTGCAAGTCTGTTCCATTACTGAGCATGGAAAGCAAACTCCCATACCCCATGCAGGGGCCTGGCCCAGGCCACTCTCAGACCACCAACCCTTACAGCCATTTCCTACAGAGCATGGCAAACAAGAACACGGGCCAGTTGGAATTATTTCTGTCTGACTTCATTCCGGAATGTGCGACTTATTTATAATCAGCAGCGGCTTTTCCTGGGAAAGGTCTGATCCCTTTTTGCCACCAAAATGGAATGTGGCACTTGCTACGGCTGGACTGGGCAGGTATTTGTTTTCCTTTGAAGAGAACGACTTCAGAAACACACTGATCCTCAGAGCTGACTGCCTCCCAAATCTCACGCCTGGCATGGCCAGGGGCCTTGCGAGTGCTAAGAATGGTAGCATTCATGGGGGTCTGTGGCCTTGCTGCCGTAGCTCAGCTGGGGCCTGGGTCAGCTGGAAGGCCCCTCCCACCCACTGTCCCAAATCGTTGCAGCTTCTATACCTGTGGAGTGGCGGAGGTGACCAACACGCTAGCCATCAGACCATTCCTCTTGTACATAGTCTCCAGGCCGCAGGGAGCTTCAGGGCAGCCTCTGCCGGTGACATAACCTGCCTGGAGGAGTCCTGCAAGGCAGAGGAGCTCATAAAAATCAGGTTTTGAAACCAACTGAACCTTCCCCAGGGGAGAGTGTGCCAGACTTCAGCAGAACCCCTAGGAGGATACCTTAAAAGAAAGGTCAGCTGGTGGCCTTGGCACCAAATATGGCCCACAAATGTCGTCTGTTGGGCTGGCTTGTGCAGTGTTTTATTAGTCTTTAAATTAATTACCAACATCTAAAAACTGGAAGATTTCACATAGAATTCTGGATCTCTGACTTTCCTGACAGCACTGGGCCCATATCTCTCCACAGTGACCATCAGCTGAGCTGAGCAGAGGCTGCCCCATGCATCAGAGCTTTTGGTCCCCACCTGGCCTGTGCAATCATTTCAGTGTATATGTGACCCTTGCAGGTAGACGGAGTTTGTGGACTTTGTCTTAAGACAAAGGTGGAGTGCAGACAAACTGATCCTACTGTGCACCCCAGACACCACATCACTTCCTCAATAACTCCCTGGGTGACAGCGGGATTCATCATGCGCCAAGCACTTGACATCCACCATCTCATCCCTCCCCCGATCCTGAGGCAGCTCCACTCGTCATACTCATGTTCTTTGCTCATGCCATTCCATCATGTCATCACTCATGACCTGCTCCTAGGTCACCTCTGATTATCATGCAGAGACCACCCAACAGAATGGGCTGCTCCTACACCATGTTTGCACACCTTCGGAAGCATCCACCACATCCCAGAGCAGAGTAGCTGCCAACACTTTTCTTAGCAGGAAAGTGGCCATGAGTGTAGGGTGGATAGGTAGGGGAACACCAGTCAAAAGCCACCTGCAACTACTCAGGTAAGAGATGAGGGGAGTCCTCTGAGCTAAGGTGGGAGCAATGAAGACAGGAGAGAAAAACGGAGGACAGAGATTCCACAGAAACTGAGGTGAGGGAGAGCTGGACACCAAATGGATGGCTTCTGGCTTGAGATGCCAGAAGGATGCTGTGTCCCTCGTCATGGAAGAACAGAGGTGGCATAATGGACTTGGGGGAAGGAGATGAACTTGACCTGGGACATGTAGCATGAAAAACTTAGTCCTAGAAGGCAAGACCTAACCCAAAGGACACCAGGAAAGATGAAAAGTGCCAGTCCACCCTTGACTCAACTGTGCCCCCGTGGCTCTGTCATGGGCCCCATCACAGAGCAGAAATCTGTCACAGAGTCCAGTGAACAGAAGGGACATCAGATGACTAGGCTCCTCTTTGCACGTCCTCAACATGCCAGTGACACATCTCTCATCCTGCTAGCTAGCTGCTCAGCTCCATCCTGTGAGCCCTCTACCTTCTCTGACTCCCCAGAACAGAACTTCCCTGTGAGCCCTCTACCTTCTCTGACTTCCCCAGTCTGCCCTATAAACACCACTGAATGGGGTCCTGGATGACATCACTGAGTACCCCAATGTCCTAGGCAGGAGAAGGTGTGCACTGACTAAGTGGGAAGAGGTCCTGATCTGCAGACATTGCCCAGGCAGAATTTAGAGGCAAAGTGAGTTTGTGACTTGCTTTCAAATGGGCAAAACTCACATGAGCAGAGATGAAGCAAAAAAAGGTAGCGTGTTCACAGATGCAGGATCCAGAGCAGAGGACACACGGGAGTCCACTGTCCTGGTCTCTCAATCTTTCCTAGTGCCTGATAATTTTCATTTAAAAAAAGGAAAAACAGGGACTGGGGTTGAGGCTCAGTGGTAGAGCACTTGCCTAGCATGTGTGAGGCACGGGATTCAATTTCCAGCACCACATATAATAAATAAACAAAGGTCCATCAGCAAATAAAGACAGCTTAAAAAGTAGGCAGAATTTTTTAAAAAGGAAATACAGACAAAAAGAACCAGTCAGGTAAAGAGGAAACACTGAGCCAGAGAGACCAAATTCCGTTTTCGTGACCAAGGAAAGAAGATGAACTGAGAAGGCTCATTTCTTAATCATTTTTGTCCCAGGAAAAGAGTGTTCCCTGTCATCAAGGACCACGAATCCCACAGCTGGTATAGGCTTAGAAAGCGGTGCATAGAATATTCAAGTTGACATTTCTCAAAAGAAAATATGTCACCAGCATACAAGGGAAATGCTGTCAGGGAAGTGCAAATCAGAACACTAACACCCCACCTCATGCCCTAGGGTAGCTAGAATTCAGAGGAGGAAAACGAATGGCCCATAGCAACTGCTCCATGGTGTGGAGCAGTGGAACCCCTGTGCATAGCTGGTGGGACAGCAAAATGGTATAACCACTTGGGAAAATTAGCAGCTCCTTAAAGTTAAACCAAAACTTACCACACAACCCAACCATTGTATTCCTAAGGATCTATCTAAAAAAAGATGAAGACATATCCACACAAAGGCACGTATGTGAATGTTTATAGGAGCATTCAAAAGCTGGAAGCAATTCAGATATCCATCAGCTGGCAAATGCATAAGCATGGTAAGACATCCACCCGATGTAGTACTACTAGCTATAAAAAGAAATGAAATACTAATACAAGCTATAACACGATTAAACCTCAGAAGCACTACACTAAGTAAAAGAAGTCAGATGTAAAAGAATGCACTGTATGATTCCATCTTAGGAAATGTCTAAAAAAGGCAAGTTTATAGAGCCAACATGCCATCAGTGGGGCTGAGGTGGGAGTGCTACACAGGGACACAAGAGCCTTTTTGGAGGTAATGGAAATGTTCTAAAACCAGATGGTGGTGACAGGTACACAGCTCCAGAAATGCGGTTCTATGACATATAAATAGCAGCACAATAAAGAATCATGCTGAACTGTTTCATAATGGTGATTCCAACCTGCACACGTAACATTTCTTGAAATGAGCAAATAAATACTAAAGCACTAAAAATATGTTGTATTAGTACATGATAACAAAAAGGGAAATATTAAACTTTGAGGAATTTCCTTGCCAAGGAGATGGAACTGAGAGGAGCAGCCCCAGAGCCAGGGAAAGGCCTCCTGGACCTGGGTGGATAAGACAGTCCACTAGAAACCCTTGAGAAAGTCAGGCATCAGAATGCAAAATCCAAAAACCATGATGAAAAGAAATGTCAGCTCAGGGGTGCCAGGCTGGATCAGGCCCTTGGGCTATCTCAACAAGACTAACCAACTGGAACAGGTGGACATCTGGCTGGGGGTCTGGCAACAACCCCAGCAGGCCATTCAAGGTCAAAACAGACAAGCCTGCTGGGATGGAACCTGCCCAGCTTGGTTCAGACAGGATCACAGTAAGTCACCATGGGAGGCGGAGTGGGGGATGGCCAACTGGCCCATCCTCTGAGTGGATTCCCCCCTGCTCATTTCAAGGCTGAGGTGGGCTTTGCTCTTGAAGGATGTGCCTGGCATTCTGTGGGTCTCCCCAAGAGGATCTCCGACTGCTCAGCCTGGTCAAATCAAAGGCCTTCTCTCCCTACTTGTCCTGTGTCACACATTCTTCCACTCAGATGCCACGGCTATTCAGGCCTTCTGCCTGCACTGGCCATAGGCTCCCTGCGTCCCATCTGAAGGATGCCAACAGCCCCAGCCACTTCTCCAGTTAGGGGCCAGCATAGCACTAAGAGATCATGGTGTGGGAGAGGCAGTGGCTGGATATTACATTTTTAGCTTATTTAATCTTCACAACAGTCCCAGACTTCTTGAATCCCAATGAGAAACAGGCACAGAGAAGAAGCGTGACCTACTGCTAGTTAGGGACAGGACCAGGGAGTTCAAACCCTCATCAGTGAACACCGGGGCCTGGGCTCTGACCATCCCTCACACCGCCTTCTGCAGAGCCCAGGTGGGGACTAGCCATGGCAGCACAAGGAAGGCTTTGCCAGGCCAGCGAGGGACAAGCACTCGTTTAGGCTGCTAGTTACTGTCCATTATTAGCCCTTACCCTAAAAGCTTCTATTCACTTATTCCTTTCTCTTTTCCTAAAACAAAAAAATAAGCTATAAATGTTCAAGAAGGAACAACAGCACTTCTAGCTCTCATTGCTAGAAGGCGGGTTCCCAATAGAGGGCTCTGGGCTCCAAGTTCAGAAAGCCAAGCCCTAGAGTTGGAGTTCAGCGCTCCCCCACCCTGTGGCCCCCATCCACCTCGAGATGAAGTGTGGCAGCGGCAGTGTGTGACCCGTTATGCTTTCTATGGAAGGCCTGAGCTGGAAAGACAGAGCGCTTGTTTCCGATCTGACTCCTGCATGTCTCGCCACTGACAAAAACAGCCAAATTTATGGGCAGTAACTCTCAGACAAGCGATATTTCACATGCTAAGGAATAACAGGACCAAGCAGAGCAGAGCATCCCTGCCAGGTCCACAGAACCCCCCACCATCCAACTTCCATCCTGGAGCCTGCTAAGCCACGACTCCTATATCAGGGAGTAGACTCCCATCGGGGCTCAGCCTGGCCAGAAACCACCCTGAGAACTGCTCCTCCACCCCAGGAGAGGGCCCTGAAGACTGTGCCACCCAGGCCAGACCAACTGTACCCAGGTGGCCACCTACTCTCCCAGGAACTCAGGACCCCGAGACACCAGTCTCTGCTCATCAACCAGGTGGGGGCACTGTGCCCTCAGGAGCAGAGGGTGGCCCTGTGAAGGGACAGTCTGGTCAGTGGCGTGTATGCAGGGAGGAAGCAGATGCACAAAGAAGTGGGGGAGAGAATGGCCAGGACTCTGTCATAAAGCTGCTTTCATGGCCACATGATCAAAGTAGTTTCCAAAAGACCTTGTTGAAGGCTAGTTCCTAAACATCAATCCACCAGAAACCTAACACTGAAAATGCAAATGGGAAAGAGACACACCATTCATTCACTGAGCTTTTTTTTTTTTTTTTTTAAGACAAGATCCCGCTTTTTGGCCTGGGGTTGGCCTTGAACTTATGATTCCACTACCTTAGCCTCCCAAGTAGCTGAGATTACAGGCATGCACCACCACACTCAACAGCTTGTAACTGTTTTGTGCCATGGATCCTTTGGGGCCTCTTGTCACAAAAATGATTTT